AAAGTCATGATGCATTTTTGCATAGAAAAGCATAGAAAAATATGGCATGACTTCCCCAATGACCTTATAGATCTATCCCTTGTGAAATCACTTTAGAAAACCATCTCCTTGGGACCAGCAGATGGCATAATGGTTTCTTTGCTGGACTCTCACATAGTTGACTGTGGTGCGAGTTCCAGCCCCGGCGACTTTGAACTCACTCTGGGTGCATGTGCATGCATGCCCAAGTCCTGAGAGGAAAATGAAGAAGAGGCATTGTAGCGTGGCCATCCACCTTGGGGCGATTTATCGCTTTCCATCTCTTGCTCTGGTGAGCACACACACCCTATAGCAAAAATCTAAAAAACAAAACAAAACAAAAAAACAAAACCAAGAAAGAAAAGAAAACTACAATTTACTGCAATAGTGACCATTTTACAAGGCTTCAAAAAATTATTAGTATGAGAAAACTAAAAGCTACTCCATACCCAACAGGCAGACGGACCACTGCAGCTTTGGTAGCATATGTATGAATCTTCAGAACAAGATTGCGTGGCTTCAGAGATTTCCAAGAAATTGTTTCAACTACGAGGAGTCCAGGTTCTACAGGAGGGCTGTCTTTTGTTAAGGCTTTAGGACAAGTGGAAAAAAGATGAAAATTTAATTTTGAAACTAGAGCTGGCTTTCACACAAAGAGATTTTTATTCATTAACAACATTAATAATGACAACAACAATAATAAAATTAGGCATTAACTATTTGTTTAATGTTCATAAAGCTTTAGAAGTTATTCTGGGTAAGTAACTGTTGGAATTAATGCTCAACTTTATTTATACATTTATTTACTTATTTATTTAAATTTGACCATAGAGGGACAGAATGAGAGAAAAGTGAGAAGGCAAGCAGCTAGGTCCTGGACTCAAACCACAGTTGGCCATGTAGGAGTCCAGTGCCCTTAGCCACCAGACAGGTATATTTTATCAAAATATACCATACCTTTTATTATTTCTGTGTCAGTAATACAATAATCATGTATGCAATTAAAAAAAAAAGAAAATATATCACATCTGGGAAAGTAAAATAAGATAATGAGTTTATAAGTAGCAAATCTGAAAAGCAGATATACATAAGACTCTGATAAACTGTCAAAGCAAGTCAAAATATCTCCTTGTTTATCAAACTTTTTACCTTTGATTCTTATAGTCTTTGACCTTAATAGAAATAGAAAGTGGTTTATGAAAATGTTAATTTTAGTATCAAGCCTTTCTTTTCAAATGAGCAAAGAATACTGACTATTCTTCATCAATCATTGAAGACAAAATATTTTTTGCCTTATTCCAGAATATACTCAAACAGAGATATAATACCACACCAGGATCTGAAATGCCTCTATGCATATAAAATGTGACTGTGTTAGGATATTGAGGCTATCGGCTAGGTAGACATGGCAAACTTATATCACTAAATTTTAGAAAGTGATCTAAGAAATTTATTATACAACAAGTATTTAGTGGTTGATTGCTATACTCTAAACACCATTCATAAATTGGAGATATCTTGGAGAAAAATAAAAGTCCCTGCCCGAATGTTGTTAAGTTTTGATATTAAGCATTCAGAAAATGTTTATTGAACACCTGCAGTGTCAGGCACTGTTCATGTGAGTTAAAGATAAATGCTTTGACAAAATAGACAATAGACAAAGACTGAAAGAATGGTTTTCTGTGTGTATGTGCCTTGTGTAGGAGCGGAACTGCCCATCCATGAGAACAGGAGGGAAGACAGACTAGAATCGAGAGAGTTTATTATGGGAAGATGAGGTGGGGGTCACTTCTCATTTCTTTTGTCTCCTCCAGTGGACTCATAAATAGGATGATGAGCTGAAAATGAGGAAGAAGAAGAGTAGATTAAAGAGATTTGGAGAGAGAGGGTGTGTGAAGATTTTAAGGTTTGCCATAGTTATTCTGGAGAGTGAGTGCAGGAGACTGAATAAACTAGAGAAATGCTAGCAATGCTTACACACCTTGCTAAGTTTGTGCTCTTCAATTTAAATCAGGGATAGCCACCATTTGTTTTCTCCTCCAATCACATTCAACTGCTCTGTTGCAACCACAATTTAGGTATAGAGTTTAACCATTATTTAGAATTTGCCAGAAAAGTAAGATGAGCAAGTAAGAAGGGAAAGTGTGTTGAGGATAGAAGAAATCAAATTAACTGATAGACCATAAAAATTATATTGGGAATAGGACATAAAACACATGAATACAGTAGTGATCAGAAAAAAAAAAAAAGTGGTAGAGTAGATGGATGGAAATCCCAGGGAAGTCAAGAATTGCAGAAGCAAAAGTTCTAGAGGGAGGGAACAGTCAGGGTAGAGAGAGATGTGTCCTTCAAATTGAGATGATGCACTAATTGGTAAAGATAAGATCAATAACATAAAGCATAAAAGAAGGGGCCAAAGTGGGATGGTTATAAAACATTGAAACTGTCAAATCAAAGAAACAGTTCATATATGTAGTTTTCCCTATTAGATTTGAAAGAATCAAGAACAATCACATGTGTAGGTAAAAAGGAAGTCAGGACTATGCATGCCAAAGAGAACAGATGTCCTCAACCAGGGGAGGCAGAGGTGGCAAGAGCATGTGTGATCCTCATGTCCGCAACCAGGGGAGGCAGAGGTGGCAAGAGTGTGTGTGATCCTCATGTCTGCAACCAGGGGAGGCAGAGGTGGCAAGAGCGTGTGTGATCCTCATGTCCGCAACCAGGGGAGGCAGAGGGGCAGAGGTGATTCTGGGTGACTCTTGAGAGATTAGGAAAGAAACGGATTCCACCATCAGTGGCTTAAAACATCTTATTGACATTCCGTAGGATGAACATGATCTCGCATTCAGACTATCATTCTCTCAGAGCTCTCTTACCTCCAGATTCCCCCCAGCGTACCAATGCGGAAAAGCAAACCAGTAATTCGATAGGTTTTAGACTATCCACAAACAGATAGTAGGACACACGTTCTTCTGAGAACTGCAAGACATTAGATCGATCATTGTACTTAAAAAATCAGTCCACGGAGGCCATTAGAGTCCACTTATAATGATACTTAACATTTGTAACAATTCTCGGTGCTCCAGGTGCCACACTAAATACTTCATGGGTTTAATAATATGAAGCACATCCCTCTAGGTGAATGTTGGTGATTATCTGTGAACACTGGGTTTGTGGAGCCTGTGTGAGATTAAACACCATCTCGGAGAGATAGGAGAGAAGAAAAGGGATCTACTTGTTCCTGAAATGGAGAAGAGAGGAGGAGACTTGGCCTAGGGCTGAGTGTTGCTCTCAGAGTGGGTTCTTGATAGGCAAAGAGGCCACAGGGTAACTTTGGCAGAGACTGGAAATATCTAAAGGAGATGAATATGGGTAATTTACAGGATGGTATGTGATGTAAACCCTCTCCTCCTCCTTTCCACAAGATTTTGAGAAGTATACCCATTGCTTGCTTATGCACCAGACTGTAGTTTTTTTGTTTTGAAGATACAATAAAGTGCTGAGTAAAGCCAGAACTTCACTTAAACTCAGCCATAAAAAACAAGACCCTGGCTTTTGACAGAAAATGGATGAATATGGAAGATTTACTGCTTAGTGAAGCAAGCCGGCTATGAAGGAGAGACATTGTATGTCCCACTTAATATATACTGAGTGTCTGCACTCTATGGCCCAAACTGAAAGACTAGAGGATATAGAAACATAGAAAATGGTTATAGATACTGGATACAGTGTGGAAAGAGGGTGGGAGAAGGAGGAGAGTCTGAGGAAAGACATTAAGGAGGAAAATAGAGAGACAAGACATTTATGGGACAAAGAGATGGGTTATTATCTGTTGATAATAACATGTATAGTATTCCCAACTGGACTGGTGAGAAATGCATTCATGCTGAAACATTCACTTTATAAACTAAGTGATGTATGTGATTGAATGTATAGAAGAAATTAGAATAGAATAAAATACATATTAACAAAAAAGAAAAAAAGAAATCCATACAGGGTCCAGCATGTAGAGTGGTGGTTGAGGCGCTGGACTCCCACATGGTTGACCACTGTTTGAGTCCTAGACCTGGTGGCTTGCTTTCTCACTTTCTCTCTCTCTCTCTCTGGTAAACACATGTGCCCTTTAGAAAAGTAAAGTAACAATAGTAATAATACATAATAAAATTAAATAAATAATTCTTTAAAAAAAGAAAGTCATATAAAGGTTGCATGCATTGGATTACAATTTATCTTACATGGATACTGTTAATCTCACTAATAAAGGTTAAAGAAACTGAAACCAAAGAGAGAATAAGATATTTATTAAAGGCCACAATACTCATAAGAAATAAAGCTGAGAATTTTCTTATTTTCCTTTGTGCGCACGTGTGTGTGTGCATGTGTGTGTGTGTGTGTGTGTTTGTGTGTTTGTGTGTGTGTTAGAAAATACATTCACTTACCCGAAAGAGAGAGTAAGAAAGAAAAGGAGAGGAGAAAGCAGCCCCTACGAGGGATGGTCACACTTCAGTTTCTAGTCTTCAATCTCATCCTTCTTCTGGGATTTGGGGAACACACGTATGTACACCTGGCGTGTTTCTCAAGCCACAGAGTCTGGGATTCAAACTGCGTGGTCCACCATTTGAGATACAGGTACCTTAACTGTCAGGCCACAGAGCTGGCCCAGCTGATATTTAAAAGCAGGTGTACCTGCCTTTCTGGTCTTAACGCTGGTACTCCTGACTGTTGAGTTACTATTGTCTCTCACATTCTCAGTGCTTCAACATAATTTTGACGGGTGGCATATGTTAAATATATTCAATGAATTTAATTGTCATACTTTAAAAGCTTTCTGTATTATTTCTCCACAATATTGAAACTATCAATTAATATATTAAAGAAGAATCTCTAGTGATGCTTATGAAAAAAGAAACATTTTATCAAGGAATACAAGGTACTAAAAACTCTCGATACAATGTAATGGTATTTTAAATCATTGCTCACCCTGGCTTTTTCCATTTTCATTTGTCACTTTCATTTGCTTTCTTTCAGCAGTAATAACTTGCTGATGTGGACAGTTCTTTCACATAGTTACTAATTGAAAATATAAAGGACTCTTAGATTTGCCAGCTCAGTGGCCATGCCTGAAGGGGAATTTCTGTACTGGGCTCATTTGCTGTCATCTTCCAGGGTCTGAGGACTGAAAAATGGGGTGGTCTTGAAGCCCATACAGAGGGATGATTCTGCCCACCTGCAAGCATATAGCATATTTGCAAAGCTCCTGCCCTATCCTCACACTGAGCACCAGTGCAGTATCTTTGAAATGTGCTGAAGACAGGCCTCAGGCTCCATGTCACCAGCAGAGCTGGCAGGACCAGCCACTGAGACCAGGGATGCCTTGCCTCAGACCACAATCAACCTTTCCTTTCAGACCACACTGATGACATTAAGTTTGAGTTCCATTGTCCTCTTAAGACAAAATAATCACTTTCTCAAACCATGAAATGTTACAGAAAGGGGACTGCAGGTCCCATGTAAGGATGCCATTATTTTACTTTGCCATGCTGAATCGTTAATAGGAAAATAAAAACTGATATTTACCATCACTTCATAAAAATAAGATCAGATTAAAAAACACTTAATTGTTTATCACAGACACACATACACATGCACACACCTATATACATGCGAACTGGATGGTGAGGTGTAACAAAAACTCTCATGCAAACTGCCTCAAGTAAATGACCTCCAACATTTATTATCACTTACCAGTGGGCATTCTTTGTGTCTTATGTAAATGATCTCATTTATTTCCCAGTAATAACCCTACGACACAGGTCTCTACAGATAAGAAACTAAGGAAGAGAGAACTTAAAAGAAGTTGCTCAGACTCTTACACTGTGTACATTTTGCAATTGGAGTTTAAAACCAGGTAATCTGGCTCTAGAACTACCATCTGCTTCTTTAAACAGCAGAGGTATTGGTAAATGTAAGCGCTCCAAACCAGACAAATCCCAGTTCTCATATGTGTGCTACTTTGGTGATCTTAAGTAATTTTCTCAACCTGGTCTGTGCCATTTTCCTTGCCATAAAGAGAATAATAATAGCCCTTTACCGATTTTTCTGTGAGTAGTGTAATAAAAGAACCTAGTTCAGGTAGGCCAGTCAGATGGTGTGGTGACTAAGACGGCTGAATCCCACATGGCTGACTGTGTGGTTTGAGTGCCAGACCAGGAGGCTTGAAAAACATGCTGAGAACATGTGCAAGCATGCCCAAAGTCCTGAGAAGAAAATGGAAGAGGGATTGTGGAGTAGTCGTTTCCCCTTGGAGGGTGATTTTTCACTTTCTTCATGATCTCTGACTCTCTCCCTCTAGCAAAAATGAAAAATTAAGAACCTAGTTCGGGGCCTGCAATGTCTATACAGAATTGTCATTTATTATTGCCAATAATTTGAATTTTAAACTATGCCTAAGTAGTCTGTGAGCTATACATTATTCTCTTACCAAACTGAGTTCAACCATTCCCAGTTACCATTTTGGTTGCAATCTTAATGTGAAGGCATTCTCCTGGGTCCTTTTAAAATAGACCCTAGGACTTGGTGGACTTTTCCCACTTCCGGTCAATCTCTATTGCAGACCTGATTCTTCCTCTCAGAGTGGTCAACCAGCTGCAGAACTCCTCTTGAAGAATGTTCAAAGGTTTTCTCTGCCTACACTTTCATCCGTTACAAGTGCAATGAGAGAAGTTATTTCTTACTTACTTCCCCCACCTCTGCATACGTCTGCATGGAGGGGTGGGGTTATCACTGGGGACTTCAATAGCCTTTTTTTTTTCCCCTTTGGAGAAGTTTTTGCTACAGGGAGCGTGCACTCACCAGAAAGACAGAGAGAGAGACAGAGAGACAGAAAGCGAGGAATCACCCCCCAGGGGGGATGGCCACAACACAATCCCTTCTCCATTCTCCTCTTGGGATCTTGGGCACGCATGCACACGTGCCTGGTGTGAGTTTAAGCCACTGGGTCCAGGACTTGAACCGTGGTCAACTACATGGGAGTTCAGCAACATAGCCATTACACTAACTGCTGGTCCCTTCAATAGAGTTTTTCTAAAATAGAAAAAACATGCAAGATTCATTGCAACATAGCTTCCTATGATATTTCATAATTTTCTCCAAAATTACACTCAATGTGAGATTAACTTATTCGACTGGATTTTAAGACCACCCCATGTCAGGACTGGTCTTGAAATAGTAGCCAAAAAGACATCCTGGTCCTTCTAAACATGCTGGCACCAAGTAACGGCCAAGGAGAGTACAGAGATGCAATCAGATTTGGGGTGGTGGGAGATGATTGCCTGAGGAGGCACTGAGCTTACAGAGAACACAAGGTTGAGCCACTTGGCCCAGACTCCATGGCCAGGAGAGGCCTCAGACAATCGAGGAGATTGAATTGACCAAAGGACTTGTAGGCATTGGCTGGATGAAGGAACAGAGTCAATAAAGGGGAGAAGCTTCAGGCAGAGGGAAGAGTATAGGCAAAAAGCAAACAAAAAGCCTAGACATGGTGGTGAGAATGTATTTGTATTAAGAAATGTGAGCATTTGGTAACTGTTAATATAGCGAATTTATTTATGCATTGCCTTCATTTATTTATAAATTAAATTGTTATTAATATGAATTTGTAAAACAATACAGCTCAGAATTTAACCTCTACTACATATTTAGATGGAGTGCATTCACGAGATCAACTAGTGGAACCTGAATTATTGTCTGAATAGTAGATGTGCTGAAGACTCTGAGGATGAATTTTTTAAAACATAATTATGTCGTAAGGCTAGAAGTGCTTGAAACTTGAAGATACTTCTCAATAGTAGATTCTATCAAAAGTTTAAGTTATAAAAGGGAAAGAAAAGAGATCATAATATATTTACCTTAAATTCTGTCTTTTGGAAGTTAATGCAGTATGAACTTGGCTTGTGGAAAATATATATATTGCTGAAAAAAATTATTGATAACAGGTTATGGTCATTATAAAGAAAGTCTCTTACTTTAAGCTTCTTAAAACTGAAATAAATATAGGCAGAAAGTTAAAATAATAAAATCCATATTGAATTAGTTGCCCTAAAGGGAAATAAATTATCTCAGGAAATAAATCATCTTCATCTTAATAAACAAACAAGTCTTTGAAGAGAAGCTGAAACTGACCTGATATCAGTTTGACTATAAATTTGCTATGGGAATCACGAATGTATCCTTTTTTTTTTCCATTCTAAAACTTTTATTTGGTATTATACTAACACTAGGCTAATATTGGCTTAGCTTTTTTTGAATGATACTAAGAATTCATAGGCTATATAACCACTATGTTAAATGTATAAAACTAAATCCTAATGTGAATTTGTATAATAATGCAACTCAGAAGTTAACCACTACAACACAGTCAGGATCACATCAGGATACTTACTGAAAGCACACACAGAAATCTTCAAAATCTAACCATATTTCTTTAGAAACTCCATTATTTATTATTGTAAGCTCTTCTTGTGATTTTTCCTGTGTTGCTGTGGTGGGGCTGGCCAAATCTCTTTCCAAAGGAAATCCCTCAGTTTGATGGATGTCACTCCATCCAAGGTCCATCTGTTCATCTGTGCATCAGAGAAGACAAACTCGTCAAACACATCTTATATTGTTCTGTAATGTTATTACAATTGGGAAATTGCAGTGGTGCATTCAAATATCAAAATCTATTTTGGGAAAAAATTTACTGAGAGAGTCATTTACATGTAGACCTCAATGGATGGCAGACCATGACACATTTCATACACTTAAGATAATTTAATCTTAATTTCTATGAATATTAGAGCACTTAGAATATTTTCGTTTGATTTTTTTTTTCCCAGAGGGTGTGTACATTTACTAGAGAGAGGCAGAGAGATAGAGACAGAGATAAGAGGAAGAAAACACTCTCCCATGGGGCATGGTCATGCCATAATTTGTTCTCCAGTTCTCCTTTCTTTCAGCATTTTTTTGACATGCAGCACATGTACATGAATTTTGCATGTTCATCAAGATGCAGGTTCCAGTTCCCTTAACCACCAGACCACAGGTTGGCCCTTGAGTGTTCAGAAATTTTGAAATCATTTTAATAAATTTGTCTGCACATTCTGTAGTAAATGTAAATTTATGACAAATTAGCTAGCTTATGTACTTAAAAATCTGCTACAGCCAGTCATATTTATTTATTTTTTAATAATTATTTTATTTAACTTTATTTATTCATTTGTTTATTTCAATTTGACCAGAGAGGGACAGAGTGAGAGAGAGAGAGAGGGAGAGAGAGTGAGAAAGCAAGCCCCAGGTCCAGGACTTGAACCACGGTTCACCATGTGGGAATCCAGCACCTTTAACCACCATGCCACCTGCCAGCCCCAAGTCATATTTATTAAAGAAG